AAAAACAAAAAATTCGTTAGTTAGGACCTTTGTGAATTAAGGTAACGATATACTCCCATAGTAAAAAACGTAAAAAAGAAATAAATCAAGCAGTTCCTTAATGGTAATAAAGGATCTTAAACCGTTTAGAAAAGTTAATAATAAAGCTTTTATTAATCTGTTTAATGTTGTCATCTGTATTAGTATGGGGTATCAAATACCTTTGGATTCCAGCGTGATCTGTTGAGTCAGAGAGAGTTTTCAGCAAGGTCGAATTAACTACACGGTGCAACAAAAAAAAAAGTTATGAAATACACCCGAAACGAAACCTAGTGTAGCTTGTAGCTATGGTCGTGTACAACATAAAAATTGGTTCCGTATAGTTCCTGAGCCCTCAATTTTTATTTTATTTAAAACTCGTTATGTTCGTACTCGATGCACTTATGTATTAACTGCTTGTCTAGTTTGAAAAACCAAACCTGTTTTGAAAAGAGGATTTATAGACCTTTAATGTGTAACAATTTATTGCTAGACATAGCTTGTGGGGAGTTTTCATCGGTTAAACTTTAATAAACCCCTATTCTTTCCATTTTGACCATCGCTAATTTAAAAAATGTCTATGAAAGTTGCCAAATATGTAGTATTTGCCGCAAATAACATTTATTTTCCATTACATTGATTAAGTGAAGTAATGAAATTGCATAAAGATTGTCGAAGTTAAGCAATTTAAGCGAAAATACAGCCTTGAACTTATATGTGTGTGTGTACTAGTAGTTTACGCCGACAGTCTTTGCGGTGGCGGCTTCTTTAACTATAACAAGTAAGAAAGTCTAAGTTCGGGCGGAGCCGAACATTAAATACCCGGCGCAAGTATTAAATATATGTTTTTCACCTTTCCGAAAACTACCGCTACATGGTAAACCGGGGTGGTTTTACCTCTATTTTAAACATCTTCGATAGAACGTTCAGTTAGCCATAATGAGATAAACTTATATAGTCATATGTGGGCGATATCACGCCCATTTTCCAAAATTCCAAATAATATTACTTCTTTTCAAGGGATTGTTTTTAGAATAAATTTTGAGTAAATTAGCGTCCTTAAATTTCGAAATATTGAAGTTTCAAGCATTTATGAAATTTACCGTTATATGAAAAGCGGCCGTAATTTAGTCCGATTTCAATAATTTTCAACATTTTGCTTTTATATGGCATATCCATACCGAGTTTGGTACAAATTGGTTGAATGGTTACCGAGATACATATATGTGATCATAAGTGGGCGGTGCCACGCCCATTTTCCAGAATTTTATCATAAACTTATTTCTTCGTAAAGAATTGTTGCAAGCATCAATTTTTAATAAACTAGCTTTAATATGTACTGATTTATCGAAAATTTCGTATTTCTCTAAATTACCATTATATGAAATGTGGGCGTGGTTATTGTCCGATCTTAAAAAATTTCGGCAGAAATTGGTGCAGCGGTTACCAAGATATATACATGTAACGATAAGTGGGAGTGGCTACGCCCATTTTCCAAAAATTAGAATATTCTCATTTTTCGTCTAAAAATTATTGTAGATATCAATTTTAAGTGAACAATCTCCAGTAGTTACTAAAACATCGCAGTTTTCGTATTTCTGAAAATTACCGTTTTATGGGAAGTGGGCGTGGTTACAGTCCGATTTTGCTCATTTCCACCATCCGTCCTACGCCCGAAAGAAGTGCACTTACCAAGTTTCGTTAAGATATCTCAATTTTTACTCGAGCTATCGTGTACACAGGCGGACGGATGGACGGACGGACAGACAGACCGCTTAATCGATTTCTCTTCTCATTCTGATAACTTATATTAAACAAAATAAATAAATAAACTACTTTTTGTACCTTTACACGCCACGCGGTTTTTTGACACTTTTTCTCGCAAAGGGCCCGTTCGCCGATTTTGGTTTTTACCGGAAAATGTTCCTAGAATGCCAAATAGTCACATCCGACAGGAAAATCCGGGGTTAGAAAACTTTGGAGTTAATCTAGGTTCAAGCAAACCGTGTTTTATATAGATTATTCACATCACGGATTCTTTTTCAAAACGAACGCTTCGTTTTAATACAGCACTTTCGTTGACGTTTATAGTAAGATCAACTACGTTTCTTATTGATTTTAATATTTTTTCCCATCAGTGTACTAGTACAAGTTTTTAACAAACTTGCCTGTTTTTAACTGGTATTACATTTTCTAATCTTTTTCAAAATACGTCACATTACAGAGTTGGACGCAACAATGCAGTGGATGACGCCATTGGACCGGCAAACGCGCGTCACAAAATCGTTGTTATGGGTGCGGCAAAAGTCGGCAAAACCTCCATAATCACACAATTTCTATACAACACATTTAGCACCAAATACAAAAGGACCATCGAGGAAATGCATCAAGGCAACTTTTCAATCGCCGGCGTTAGCCTGACGCTGGATATTCTAGATACGGCCGGCTCCTATGAGGTGAGTGTGAATGTACGAATATATGTACATAAACAGTACTAAAACTAGCCCAAGTGAGTGTTACACACACGCACACACACTATAAAATATGTGCGGTAAACAACATCTCCCAGTCGGCAAAATAAGCATTAGGAATGCTCCTTTTTGATATTTTAAAACGAACGGCCTTCCTTTATGCCAGTTCTGTTCAGTTTCCATTAGAAAATGAAAACTAGCAATAAATAATAATGAGGCGGATTAATTTTAACTTCAGACCAAATACGCACGACATATCAACAGCGATTTTTTTCTTTACTACTTTTGGTGTACACCTTCTCTTCTGCCTTCCAATGTCAAAGCTAATCGAAGATCTTCTAAGACAGCTCCCAAAGAGAAAGCCCTACAGGAAAGCCGTGCTTGAAAACATTTATTTGGGAGCGCTTTTCAAATTGCCAACTGGGTTGTGTGTTCATATTTGTATATAAGTAAATTCATTAGGGTTTTCCAGAAATCCAATATACATATGTATCCTTCACTTTTTTTAGCTGAAACGCGTATGTATTATATATGAAATTAATCTTTTGGTCAAGAAGGACTGCACCGTGCGAGAATTTTACTTTGCCGAAGTAAAAAATTCGGAGCGGATAAATCGAATTAAATCCACATTTTTAATTTTTCAATATCCTTTTAAAGGTCATCTTCCTATTATTTTCGTGTTCTTTTATAAAATTCTGACATCCTGGTGGAACGCAAAATAGCTACATACATTTACTACAAATCTTCTTCTGAGAGACGCCAACAAATATAACATAAATAGTACGTCGTAGTTGAAATTGACTTTTACTCATTTAACCTCTCAAACCTTCCACTCGAAGGAATTTTACAAATCTTTGTGATTAGTACCAACTACAAGAGGTCGGAGACAACAGGATCGCTAGATCTTGCGGCGATTTCTCCCTAATGCGAAGTTTACTTACCTTACCTTATATTTATTTTTTCGGAGCCAAATCATGTTGTCGAAAGATATGTAGGTGCCGAGGGTCAGCTTGGCTAGAGCCTTTCATACAGCTGAACTCGGTTTGAGTGGACCATCCCCAATTATGATTACAAACTGAGTTTTCTGCGCAAGGTCAGCTTGATATTTAGTGGTAGTGAAAAGAAGTTTAACTTAGCACACTCCTCAACGAAGACGAAAATTGCGCTTTCACCATAAAAGCTTTATGAGTCTGGGTTGAGACAATACAACTCTATACATACATACATACATACATACATATATATGTTCATCGTGTGCGTATAAAATTTCGCAAAAAATCCCATATTTTGGGACACCTTAATGTTCACATGTACATACAGACATATGTATGTATATGTGTTTACGTGTAGACGAAGTTGTTGTCCACTTGCTGCGGTTGATTGCAGTCGCTGGACGTTGAAGATTGCATTGTTCAACCTCAACCATTTAGCTTGGTGGAGCACAACCAATTCGCATGTGGTAATTGCTATTATACGCCTGGTCCAGTGAAAAGGCGATTAGCCGGCTTTTATGTGCGGCCGCAGTAGTTACCTTGGCTAATCCCTTTTTATTTTCGTGTCCCCTTTTACTGCTTTTATAATTCATGTTTCCATAAATAAAAATGGTCCTCTCTAAAAAAACATGTTTTAAGACGAATTGGGTCGCTATAAAAAACCATGGTATTCATTTATTTTATTTTTTTAAGAATCGTTTTCGAAATATACTTACTTACATACATATATATATATACATATATATGTACATTGTACAAGCAAAATCATGCATCCTTATAGAGTTACCTCGGAACTAGCAAGGAAAATCCACTTTAATTTATTATTATGTTATGTGAAATGTTACAGTTAGGATGTACCTAGCAACAGATTTGTGGGTTATAAAGTTATTCCCTTATCCTTTAGTAGATAAGAATTTCGGCGTCAGTTGGCACGAAGAGAAGCGACTGGCGTGCTATTTTGGACTCAGCCAAAATCGGTTAGGTGGTTACGGTGCCAATAAATAAGATGAAGAAGAAGATACGAATGTTGAGAAAGCGTTTATCAGCAAATATTTCTGGATATACATATTTGCCCCCTACGTACAAAATTAATTTTGAATATATGAGCATATAAATAAGAGGTATATCTAGTATATTTGCATGAAATAACTATTTGCAAGCGCGTGCAATTTTATAGCCATTTTGTAAAGCATTCAAACCATCCGTCCGGGTTTGAAATGTCGTCGCTACCATGTCAAACTATCGAATGTGAAAATGGGTACTTTTCAGGAGAGCAAAAAGACTGTTGTATAAAATGTTGTTTTCATTAGGAAAAGGTGTTGTTAAAGCCAGTATCATCGTACAGTCTCATAAGTAAAAACACTATCAACTGATTGCCAAAAAATGTCTACCGCTGAGATCACCTGTTTTTGGCATTTGCTCTTATCCTTTTCAATTTCTTTCATTACTATTAGAATTTCTTTTATTTCTATTAACACACTGAACCAAAAACACCAATACACTAACCGCAAACTCACCTACAGCCTGACAGAAAAAAATGGTAAGAAGAAGAGTTACCTTACCCTGCAGTGAAAAATTATCAATTGTTAAAACTAACCAACTTATAGTTAGCTTTTTGGCGAGATTTCGATTAATACCTCACTTTTAATTAGCTATGACAAAACCAACTTAAAGTGAATTGTAAAGTCGTGCAGGAGTCATGCAGACGCAATCGGGAGTTGGTTTTCTTTACAAGTTTCTATTAAATATCCTGATACAAAAATTACTTTCAATACACTTTTTTTCTGAACTTCGCAGATTCTTTTTCATATTCAGGACAAATAAAAGGAAGATCGAAATTTTATACTATCATTTTGAAGTTATGTCTGACGGTGTTCGAATATGGGGCCACCCAGAGCAGAATATGTAAACAAATATGAAATGTAATAAAATAAAGTAAATAAATAAGTAAATAAAAAAGTAAAAAGACAAAAAAATATTTTGTTTTTCTTATTGATATTTTATGTCCAAAAGTAGTTAGTTACAAGTTAGTTGACATGTAATGCAGAGGTATCCAGGTCTGACTTTTTTGCGGCCATCGCCCCACAAAAGTAGTTAGCTTTTTTCGAACAAAATACACAGTAAATAGTTAGCACTAGTGTTCGCGTAAACAGACTAAAGTTAGGTATAAGCTAACGTCACTCCCTGCAGGGTACTTATGGAACTGTACGATGGCCAGTATCCTCTGCTTCTGAGAAAAAATGGTAAGAAGCAGAGTTACCTTACTTATGGAACTGTACGATGGCCAGTATCCTCTGCTTCTGAGAAGACTCGAAATTTGACGGTTTGCCTACTTGCGTATCATTCTAAATGCATGCACAAGGTATCGTAATTGAAAAAGCACTATTGCACATTCTATAGTTTGACATGGTAGCGACGATATGTTCGAAATAATCTATATATTAATACGCTAACATGAATTTTGTCTCCGTTCGTTTGGTGATTCTACCGAACCGATTTCCAAACCAAGAACACCATTGGAAAGGCATTTTTCTGTAGATGAGCAGAGTTGGTTTCAAAATTGGTTGAAAATTACGGCCAAAACCGTCGTTTAAACATTTTCGAATTGTGTATAGCTGTTGCTGCAACATGTTCAATTTGACATGTTTCGCCTGTTGTTTCACTTCGCATTTGAAGTTAAGCTTTGAAATAAAGATAAATATGAAGATGAAGAAATAAATGATAACGATGAAGTCAAAAAAAAAAGAAGACAAAAGAGAAGATAAAGAAAAAAATGGAGACAATGACGGATACATAAGAATTAGGGTAACTGAAAGGGTAAAAACATTTCTTGAATTTATGAAGTGAAACTTCTTTAGCGGCAGTTGGTTGGTTGGGAGTAAATTGTCAAATTCAAGGGGAATAGTGCACATGGAAATGGTTCTCAGCGGTTTAGCGGTTTGAGAATAAAAACAAAAACAAAGATGCCTAGAGGTACAGGCAAAAACGAAGATCAAAGTAAATTTTAACACTTTAGGGTAAAGGTGAACAGGAATATGCAAAAATAAATATAAATATGAAGAAAAGGATGAGGATGAAGATCGATATTGTTATCGATATAAAACTCGATATTTTTATCGATATAATAATCGATATTGCTATCGATAAAATAATCGATATTGTTATCGATACTGTTATTGATAAAAATAAACGCTATTGTAATCAATATAATAATCGATATTGTTATCGATATAATAATCGATATTGTTATAGATACAATAATGGATATTGTTATCGGTATAATAATCGATTAAATAATTGATTTTGTCATCGATTTAGTAATTTATATTGTTATCGATATGTACAATATTCGATACTGATGGTTGTTATATCTATCGATGAATAAACCGATTTTGCAATCGTTGTATTTTGCTATATGTATGTTTGTGGATATTGTCATCGGTATTTTTATTGAAACAGTTATCGACAGGGTTACCGATTCAATAATCGGAACATGGAATGCGATCACATTACATGACATCACATCACATTATATCACATGATATGATGAGACATCACATTATATTACATCACATAATATGATATCACATCACACGATATCACGTGACATGACATCATATGATATGACATCACATTATATAGCATGACATCCCATGACATGACATCGCATTACATAACGTGGTATCACATGATATGACATCATATGGCAAGACATCACCGGATATGGCAGCACATGACATGACATCCTATCATATGACGTAAAATCACGTCACATCTTATCACGTCATCACACCTCATCTCATCTACGTGAATAGATAAAGAAAAGGATAAAAGAAAAGATATGAAAGTTAAAAACAAAGATGAAGACCAATTTGCCGATTTCAAAACTAAGAACACCGTTCGAAAGGTAATTTTCTGTAGATGAGGAGAGTTTTTATAGTTTCGAAATTGGTTGAAAATCGTTGTTTAAAAATTTCCATATTTGTGTGTGGT